TTTCTTTGATGAATTTTAATATAAAAGTTTTAAGAGTAATTACATTTTTCGAGAAATTCCATTAAAATTGTATTAAAAATAATTGAAATTCTATTATTATTTATGAAAATAATTCAATTCCTAAAAAGAATTTTATTATTTACGAAAATAATTGAATCCCTGTAAAAATTTTATTATTTATGAAAATAAAATTGAATTATTGTGAAGAAATTTCTAGAAAAAATTTGTAAATAATTGAATTCCTGTGAAATTTTTATTATTTAATTAATTCATTCAAAATTGAAATTTTCTAAAGTTTCAAAAAACTTTTTGAAAAACCTTTTGAAGTTTATCTATTTATGAAAATTGTAAACGCAACTCTTTTAAAATTCAATTAATTTTGAAATATTTAAGTAAAATTAGATTTCATGAATAAGCACAATAGAAAACAAGCATTTTCCATGATTCTGATTAAAATTCCCTAACTTTTCAAGGTTTTTTCAAGGTTTATAAAATTCCCTGACATTTCCAGGTTTTTGAGGTTGCGCGGCAATCCTAATAAAACTACCAAAATAAAGCATATTCCACCTCGTGTTCTAGTTTATAAAAAAAGATATTTATTACAAAAAAAGGATATATTCCACAAAATTGAAATTCAGGTTGAAATTCACGTTAGCCAGAAATTTGATTGACAACAACTTGCTCCAACTTTAGACACATGTATAATTGAATTTTGTCTCCGATTTCCATTATAGTGAAATCAAAATTTGTCACCAATGATTTCCCACGAGTAGACAAATACATATATCTAGCCAAAATTCCCAAATGGATCATTTATGTAGTTATATAGATGGAGAGTAACCCATTAATTTTTGAACAGTAAAGATCATTAATGACTCCTTTCCCTATTGGTAATCGGTGTTTGGTCTATTTATAGAAACGATTGAGGGACATGAACCACAGACACTCGATAAATAGAAGCGGTCACATAACTGCCAAATTCAGTCACGACATGCCATGAATAAGTCCTTCTGTCTCTCTCTCTCTCTCTCTCTCTCTCTCTCTCTCTCTCTATATCCTACACGAGAACCTCAAGCCAAAACCGATCCCAAAGCACGACACGAAACCTGAAACTCGCAGCGAAGGATATGTCGTCGTCACACACAACGCGCGTTGGTTATATCAAGTTTAGCCATTTCAGTATGCAACGTTCCAAACCAACTCATGACTAACAAACATTAACCAAATTCATCGCGCACGCACCAACACATTTACACAAATCTACTGCCTCATCACTCCCGTCTCTCTTTCCTACTCTCTCCTACTCTCTCTTCGCGACCATTCATGAAACTTTAATATCTACCTTGTAAAGTTACGCATTCGAAACTATGAGACAAAAGCCACCCCATTCTATTCAGTCGGCTATTAAAAATAAAATTCATGTGAGAAAGCACATTATTAATTCTCCAGTCCAATGTACATGCACACACATGTGCAAAAAAAAAGGAATCTCGCTAAATGACATTTTTATGGAATATATAACAAAATTCAAGCGAGAGGAAACGAAATTCAACTTTTTAATTTTGGGTATAGAGTTCCATGCACACTTCGGCATTTTTTTTTAGTAAATTTTTGTATATACACATATTTTCTACTGGAATGTTACAAATTAAATTGTTTTATGGCGAAGAGAAAGTTTCCTTTTCAACATTTCACATCATTTCAATTGTATAAAATATAAAAAAAAACCATTAAGAGAAAAATGAGCCTGAAAAGGCTACGAGGTTCATGAAAGACCCCTTAGTAAATCTTTTACTGAACAGTGTTACCACAAAAATTTTATTTTGTTTTCAACTGATTTCTAGGTAGAATTTTATAACTTTTTCCCCGGCTATGACCCTAAAGAATATCTCAGAGTTTCCACAAAAATTTTATTTTATTTTTCCCTGACTTTTCCAGACAAAATTTTAACTTTTTCCCTGACCCTAAAGTATAATCTGATTCACTCTAAAAACGATTAGAAACTAAAAAAAATATTCTATTACATTTCTTTACGAATCTCTTTAATTGTAAAATTATTCTAAAACGTCAATATTTTTATTCAAAATTAATATTTAATCATTATTAATTTTCCATAGGAATTACGTTTTTCAAAAATTTCAAATCTCAAACCTTTTTGAAATTCAACAACTTATAATAATAATAATAATTAAAGATGACCGAGTGATAAAATCATTTTATATTATAAGAATATTGTTACTGTAACTTCTTCAAACCTATTTTCTTCATTTCAATTCAATTATTATTTTCTACAAATTTTAACTAAAATTCTTCTATAAATCAATTATTTTTAATAATTTTCGAAAAAGTTCATTGAGAATTTTCAAATTCATTTGATTGGAATTCAATTTTACGAAACTTCAAATATTCGGAAATTCTTCAATGAAATGTATTAGAAATTAAAAACTTTAAATAATTTTAAAAAATTTCATTAAACTTTTTTAAAAAAATTAATTCTACAGAATTCTTAATTAAAAAATTCAAATTTTCAAAGATTTTAATTGAATACCTTTTCAAAATTCAATTATTTCTAAACATTCATGCTGTAATGCTTTTAACTTTCAATTATTATCTAAAATTTTAAACAAATTAATTTTAAAATCAATTTTTGATTAAAAAATTCTACGGAAATTTAAATATTAAAATACAAACATAAATAATTCATGGAATAATTGAATGATTCTTAAAATTGAATTCTCATAAAGTACTTTTTAAACAAAATTTTAAATAATTGTATTCTTTTGGCGAATTTTAATAAATTTTTTTTTTCAAATTTTTCGAGGAATTTGATTATAATTGGATTGAAAATAATTGAAATTCTACAATGATTTTATTATTTTTGAAATAATTGAATTATTAAAAAGAATTTTATTATTTATGAAAATAATTGAATTATCATGTAAAAATTTGTAAAAAATTTGTAAATAATTGAATTTTTCCAAAATTTTTATTATTTGTGAAAATAATTGAATGTTTGCTTTTATTAACATTTTTTCTAAATAATTACAATCTTTTAAAAAATGTTATTAAAATAGTAGATATTCAAAATCATTGAATTCAGGAAAATTTTTGAAAGTAATTGAAATTTCGCAAAGAATTTTATTAAATTTTTTGAAAATAATTGATTTCTTGAGAAGAATTTTATTGTTTATAAAGATAATTGAAATTTTGAAGAAAAGTTTTTAAATTTTTGAACATAATTGAATTTCTGCGGAATATTTTATTACTTTTGAAAATAATTGAATTTCTGCAATCATTTGTAAAATTCAATTCTAAAATTCAATTATTTTTGAAATTTTGTAGTAAAATTCTGTAATCTTTTTTGTAATCTGCGAAATATTTTATTACTTTTAAAAATAATTCAATTTCTCCAATCATTTGTAAAATACAATTCTAAAATTCAATTATTTTTGAAATTTTTAATTAAAATAATTTAAAATACAAAGTTTTTAAATTTTTTGAAACGTTTTGAAATTTGATAATTATTTATAAAGATTGTAAACGCAACTCTTCTAAAATTCAATTATTTTTTTAACTTTTGAAGTAAAACTATTTGCTAATTAATTTATAAGTAATTATTAAGGTTTTGTTAAAAATTCGTGGAGATTGCAAAGCTTATAAGGCAACCAAAAAAAGAAAAACCATACTTTTTAATTATTACTTTACAATTTTTTCCCTGGCAAATTTTTTTTTTATTGGAAGCAATGAAAATTCAAAAAAAGGAATAAAAATCTATACATGAACTTCATATCTAAATCTACTCTCCAAAAATTTATCAACTTATCCCGGACAAAGTGGAAATATTTTGATTTTAATTATTTAACTGCTTTTTTAGAATACAATTTTCTCTGAGTGCAAAAAAAATATAGATTTCTAGGTTAAGTTTTATTTTTTAAAAATACTGTGAATAGTTCATTAAAAAATCTCGTTTTAAAGTTCGTTTTTCATTTATTGATATATCAATAATCAATAAGATTTCGTTCATTTTTAGAAGTACGAAGGAAAATATTTTTAAATTCAAAGTAAATAGTTGACAAATATATTAAAATATTCCTTGCTTTTAAAATACCAGAACTGTATTTTTAAATTTAGAACACAATTTTAGAATTAATATATTCCTACAGCATTTGAAAGTATTATTAATTAGATCAGACTTTGTATTATTTATTAGAGAGAGCATATGTTAACTATTCAGAATATACTTTAATATTAAGACAAAAAAAACGAAGACATTCAGACAAAGATTCGTTTAATGTTAAACATTAAACGAATCTTTGTCTGACTGTCTTCGTTTTTCAAAAAATGTTCCTATAATATTTTAAAACAAACAAAGAAAAGAAAATACAAAAATTCACCAAAATAAATCCACTTTGTTGCAACAAAATTTATAACGTAAATTTTTTTTTATCGCCTCAAGTGAAACTCATTTCTTCGCTCTCTATCGATTACTCTGTCAATTTCTTAAACCGTTTATAATAAATGAGGGCTTAACTCACACTCTATGCCGGTTTTAATATGAAAAAGCAAATCCCTTTCAGTTATAAGTGTATATCGTTTATCTCAAACAAGATAATCTTCGCAAAACAAAAAAAAATCTAAAAATCATTATTCAATTATAATATTCTACAGAAATTTAAATGGAACCAAAAAAAAATATTTTGCCCATTTTCAAGTAAATAACTCTAGCCAGTATACTTCCATTATAAATTCCAAAAACCAATTTTGAAAACGTTGAAGCACAAAATGAAGATGCGATAATGGAACTGAAACTAAATATGTATATTTATATATATTAATTTTCAAAGTACCATTAAAACAAATTACAATTTCACCAGTGGAGTAAAACAATATACAGTTAGATGGAATAAGACTCTGAATATTATTCTATATATTCATTCTCGCACAAATACACCGTTGGGAATTAAATTTAAATTAATGTAGTAATGGCTTTTCTGTTTTAGAACACCTACTGGTTTAGAAGATGTCAGCAAATATCCTGAATTATTTGCCGAATTACTCGCGAAAGGCTGGTCGGAAAGAGACATTCAAAAACTGGCTGGTTTAAATTTAATTCGCGTCTTCAAAGCAGTGGAAAAGGTAAACTTTAATGTTTCAAAAGTAAAATAATTTCATTTTTAAACCTCTCGTGAAATTAGCTTACACTGAGAAGAGAAAACATACTTCTGTCAAAAACAAACATAATTTTAAATTGATTTTGTTTAATTAAAATCAGTTAATTTATATTATACTCTCATGCAATTCAATTTTTCAAAAATTTAAATTAAAAACCTATTGAAATTCAATTATTTATAAAAATTTCAACTCTTGAAAAATAAAATTTTTCTAATTATCCTTTACTTTATTTTATTATTTATTTATAAATACTTTGTTTCAAAATTCATGGCGATTTTCAATGAAATAAACACTTTTGTTTAATAATTTATATGAGGAAAGTGACCGTTCTCGCAAAATTGTATTTCACACATTGCAGAAATAAATTTTTTTTAACTAAGTAAAAGTTAGTGGAAACAAATATTAGACAAAAATTTTCAAAGCAATCTGCACAAACTTCACGTGCATGTTCGCACGTGAATAGCAAGCTCACACGTAGGATCATGGAAAGCACAATGTGCGGCTTGCGTATCGCTTCTCTTCCTCAGCATGATAGTGAGAATGCTTTGTCTACCGCGACAAATGGGTTGCTCTATGAATTTATGTATTGTTCATTGCGTAAGCTCTGCACTTATGTACGTAAATCTACCAGCTCGTCTTGCGCCCGTTATTTTTCATTTTAACAAATTTATAACTATTTCCAAAAAAAAAAAAAAATCAATCACTGCGCAAAAAAATTATTCCATTTTCTACAATTTTTAACTAAAATTCTTCTTTAAATCAATTATTTTTAATTTTTTAATGATTTTCAAAAAAGTTCTTTGTTAATTTTCAAATCCATTTTTTTACAATATTCAATTTTACGAAATTTCAATTTTTCGTAAATTCTTCAATTTTAAATGAATATTAGAAAAAAAAACTTAAAATAATATTAAAAAAATTCAATTAAACTTTTTCAAAAAAATTAATATCAAAATTCAATTATTTTTAAAAATTCACGCTCTAATACTTTTAATATTCAATTATTATCAAAAATTTTAACTAAAATTCATTTTTATATCAATTTTTATTAGAAAAATCCGAGGAAAATTCTACTAGAATTCAATTATTAAAATACAAAAATAAATAGTTTATTGAATAATTGATAAATTGAATGCTTCTTAAAATTCAATTCCCATAAAGAATCGTTATCAATAAATTTTCGAATAATTTAATTCTATCAAGGAATTTTAATAAACTTTTCAGAATAATTACATTTTTCGAGAATTTTGATAAAAATTGTATTAAAAATAATTGAAATTCTGCCAAGAATTTTATTATAATTTTTGAAAATTATTGAATTTCGGAGGAATTTTTTTTATATAGATAATTGAAATTTTGACGAGAATTTTATAAAAATTCTAGAAAATAATTGAATTTTGAAGAAGAATTAGAATACTTTTGAAAATAATTGAATTCCTGAGACGAATTTTATTAAAATATCCTTTTCAATAATTAAATTCTTTTGTGAAATTTTATTGAAATAGTAGACATTGAAAATAATTGAATTTCGACAAATTTTTTAAATTAATTAAATTTCTACGTAGAATTTTATGAAAATTATTTTGAAAAAAATTTTATTGTTACAAAGACTTTCATTATTTATGAAAATAATTCAATTTTTCGAAAAAATTTAATTAAGAATGTATTGAAAATAATACATAAATTGTAGCAAAGGTTCTTTAAATAATTGAATTTTTTTTCGTGTCTTTAACTAAACAACTTCTATAAATCCATTATTTTTAATAATTTTTCATAAAGTTCTTAATGAGTTTTCAAATTCAGTTGTTTACAATTAAATTTTATAAATTTTCTCAAAAAAATTAATTCCACAGAATTGTTAGTTAAAAATATGAAAAATTCAAATTTTCAAAGATTTTAATCTGAAACCTTTTCAAAATTCAATTACTTATAAAAATTTACGCTCTAATGCTTTTAATATTCAATTATAATCTAAAATTTTAACTAAAATCCATTTTTTTCAAATAATTGAATTCTTTTAAAAAATTTTATGAAAATAGTAGATATTGAAAATCATTGAATTGAGGAAAATTTTTGAAAATAATTGAAATTTTGACAAAAATTTAATTAAAATTTTTGAGAATAATTGAATTTTATAGAAGAATTTAATTATTTCTAAAGATAATTGAAATTTTGACGAGAATTTTAAAAAAAATTTTCAACAGAATTGAATTTCAGCTAAGAATTTTATTACTTTTGAAAAACTGATTTCAGAAGAATTTGAATTAATTAAAATTTTCTAAAAATCTAAGTTCTTTAAAATTTCTAATTAAATTCTTTTAAATATCATAAAATTTCAAATTGAAACCTTTTGAAGTTGATTTATTTATGAAAATTGTAGACGCAACTATTTCAAAATTCAATTAATTTTGAAATATTTAAGTAAATAAATTATTCATTAAATAATTTATAAGTAATGAATTCTAAAAATTTAATTTTTTCCTGTACTTTTAATAAAAATCCCTGACTTTTTCATGATTTCGCAGACTAATCCTACTTATAATAAAAAAATACTTCACTCACTGTTTGCTGATTTCTCTCGACGTAACAAAACTCGAATTTTTTAAGGCCATTCCTCACATTATGCGACACTTATTCAGTTGTTCGCTTTTCTTCTCCTTATTCGCCTTCTTCAATCTGAAACAATATTAAAATAAAATATATTAAATATTTTGAAAAATATTTCGAAAATTAAAAAATTTGAAAAATATTACTGTCAATAAAATTCAAACATCTGGGGAATAAAAATATTTTGAACACAATTTAAAATAAGATTTTAGAAAAATTCAAAATTTGTTCGTAGTTTTCGATAAAAAATTTCAAATTTTTGTTTTCTTTACAATTTACTACCAAATTAACAATTTAATAAATTTATATTTTAAGTTAATTAATTATTTATCAAATTATTTAATGTTTTATTACACAACCTTAAAAAGGTCAACTGACTATTTTCGATTTCAATTTAAAATTTAACTAAATTATCCTTTCTCAATATTCACAATAATTTAAGAAATCAGCAGAGAAAAAATACTGTTTTTAAAATTGAAATATCGAGTGAAAATATACAGTTTGACACAAAAATAATTATGATCAAATTAATAGATTAAAATTCACACGACTAATTTTTTTTTTATGTTAATAAAAATAAAAATTTAATTCGAGCATTATTTAATTGACTTTCAAAAACCTTTAGTTCCAGTTGTCAACTAAATTTTCTAGAGAAATTGGGCAGCCATTTATATAATTGAAATCCCCAATGTCGACCTTTGAGCATAAACCTGAACTAAATTTTCTCTAGTACAATAATGCTATTTCAATTTTGTTACTTCCATTATAAAAGAAGTCCATTAATATCCCTTTTAACATTTGTTGTGAAACTCAATTACTTTTTTGTTACAAAGAACGTATTTTAATTAAAAATTAAAATTTATTGACTCGATTTTAATTAAAAACTGGATTTAAATATCTATACATAAAAATATTTTATATCCTCAAATAAAAAAAAACAACAAAGAAAAGTCTCTATTATTAATAAAATTATCATTAACTTTTTAAAATAAAAAATATTTCTACTTTTAATACTTTATAAATTTTAATTGAAAGTAAAATTATTGAAAAGAATAATTTTACTTTTAATTCAAATTTATATTTAAACAAATTCTGTCTTTCTTTATTGCAAAAATATATAATATATTCGAGAATAATTTTTTTTTTCAACCAACCGAAAAGCAATTTTATTCATAAAAGCGGATATATCTCATTTTTACGTCATTTATTTATAACTGTATAGAATAATTTTTTTTGTTTCTAAAAAAAAAGCTTTCAAAAAGAAACGTTAAAAATGCCAACGCAGATTTACGTTATAAATAAAACTTTAAAAGCATGAAAAATTTGTCAATAGCCATATAAAAATGTATACCTAACTTCGCACTCAATATTCTTGTATAATGTAATATTTGTGTTTTTCAGTTTCACGCAGAAAAAAAATTTCATATTCTTTCATGAAAAATGTATCCTTTTAATATTTCAGTAAATATGCGCACATGCCAATTATTCAGTTTATGTGATATTTATAAAGCTCTCTCTATGTATAATATAAAAGAACATCGTTGAGCCTTTGAACTGAATATATTTTTTTAACATGTGTCACATATATATATATATATATATATATATATATATATATATATATATATATTCTGCCACAAATGATCTAAATAACGTTTTCAAAATCAATAAATTTTAATTATTTAAAAAGATTATATTTTCATCGAATTTTCAAAATTTATTCTTTTTTCTTAAACTGTCAATATACTTGTTAAAATATTAATAACATAATTTATAAATCCAAGCGAAGAGCGAGTTCTTATTTTTAAATATATTTTAATATAATATTTAAAATATTAACTTCAAATATTACAATAATTTGTTTCTGAATTATTAAATTATTAATGAATTACTAAATTGAAATATAATAGTACTGAAATATTATTTTTAAATATATTAAAAGAATACATAAATAAATATTTTATAACAAATTAATTAATAAAAAGTTTTTAGAGAAATTTATAATTTATTATTTTTAATTAAATAAAAATATATTTGTCTCAAAGCACTAAATTATTTATTTGTTTTAAATAAAAATTTTATTTTACACATAATTATTGTAAAAATAATTCTCTTATGACTGTGAATTATCTTATAATTTTTTATAATTATCTCATAATTGCAAATTTTACAATTATTTATTTAAATTTTACAATTGCATAATATTTTGATTCTGTAATTAAGTATATGAAATAAATTTGATTTTGTATTCAAAATAAAACTGAAATCACAGTAATTGGAGCACAAAACAGAATTGTTTTACGAGTTTCAATAATTCAAGTTTTCGTGTAATTTAAATTACTTCATATTCAAAAGCAGAGAATTTATAATTTAGCTATCTGCATTTCATTTTATTTTTTCAAAATAAAAAAATTGATAGAGGAAATTAATTCTTTTGATTTCAAAATTTTCTAAAGTTTAAATAATTTTTCATTAATTTAATATAAATGTATTATTTATTGAATATACTTATTATTATTATTTGCATAATGAAATTAATACTTTATATTTTAATGAATTATATATTTAGTTATGAATTAAATTTAAATAAATTAATTAATTCACTACAAATTGTTAATTTATTTGGTTTTTAGTTTACTAATTTTTGTTCATTTTTCTTTTTAATCGAATTTTAAAATGATTGAAATTCAAATTTAATGTTTTGAAGATTAAATAATAATAAACAATTAAATAAACCAAACTGCTTTTAACTAAAAATCATAATTTACTTTATAATTTTTATACTTTTCTTAATTTTGAATATGAAATAATTTAATACTTTAATGTTATAGAATTTTATTTAAATTTTTGAAGATAATTGAATTCTGTCGAGGAATTTAATTGAATTTGCATAGAAAATAATTGAATTTTTCTGCAAATAATAATAATTAAATAAATAATAAATTGAATACTGAATTGCACTAATTATCTAACTAAGTATCATCGTTTAAACTCAAAATCATAATTTACAATCAAAAATATATTTCGAATTAAAATTTAAAAACTATTTCGAAAAGCAATCTCACAAAAAAAAGAGGTGAAGAAAACTTCAAAAATTCATCTCCATCTGAGATAAAATAAATAATGAATGAACGCGTTGGGATCAAAAGGATAAAAATTCCATCTTGAAAAATGAAAGGAAAATATTTTTTTCCAATCGCAAAGTTAATACGAAAAACAAAAATTATTAAAAGTAAAATTCTAACTCTCATAAATAATATGAAAAAAACTTGTTAAACTTACAAAATTATAATTGTAATACACAAACATATTTTATGCAAAAAAAATTTGTTAAAAAAAAAAGAAACAAATTCCTTTATACAAATTCAATTTCTCTCCAAGGAAAGAAGAAAATACCAGATGGACTTTTTTTTCTAAATACAAAAATAAAATAAAATTGAAATAGCAATTTTCAAAAGCATTTTTCCACTTTTGAAAAGGGGAAAATATGCAAATGTGTTGACTTTAAATCGGTCGGGAGATTACTAGTGATGGTCTATATGCATATAGATATTGATTATTCTAAACGGCACGAAAAAAAAAACGAAAAAAAAGGTGTAGACATCGGTTGCAGTACTCTTTTCCTGCACTTTCCCACTCTACACACAATTCCTCTACTTCTGGACGAGTTACGCTCGGAAGAGGTTAATGGGCTTACCTAAAATTGATGGCCCCCTCGTACAGAGCACGCGTGATATACGAGAACAGCGATTTTTTTTCCACCTTTTTTTTTACTTAAATAGAAACGAGTGCGATTTTTTACCACAAAAATCCCTAACCAGTGTGTGTGCGGTTTTTTTTTTTTGCTCAACAAGAGAAAAAAAGAGAAAGAGGAGAAAAAAAGAATGAACGAGGGACACTTTGTAACAATCAGTAGTCGATATCCGTAATATTTAACGAAGTTGTCTAAAAGCCACAATTAATTACTTTTAACGATTAAAGCACATGAAATTTAAATTTTAATCCAGGTTTTTGAAATTACATTTATATTTTACCAAATTAAATAACATATAAGAATATTTAATTTGGTATTTAATTTTTTCGAAACTAAAGAAAATGAAAAAACTACAAAATTCTTGATCAAATTAACACTTGGAACTAATCAAAATTGATTTCCCTAAACAAAAATAACGATAAACGTACAAATATTCAAGAAAAAAAAATACATTGAAAAATTAAAAAAAAATCAAATGACTATTTTTACAGGTTAGAGATCAAATGGCCGAGGACGGTATGGAGCCATTGGAGGAGGAAATTCCCAAAGAGGACATCATTGGTCGAGATTACTGTCGTTATAATATTAAAAGACTGTCCAGTGATCCTTAAAAACGAGAAGCTTCAAATGAACGAGCAAAGAAATTCTATAATATGAAACGTTTATCGAATTTCCAAAGTCCCAGTTGTGCCCTAACAATTCTCATATAATCTCCAATATTTGAAATCTATTTCTCGAAAAACCTTCTCTCTCTCTCAATCTATAAAAGAAAAGAAAAAAATAAAACCAGTGTACTATCTCGAATCAAAAATAGGTACATATATAAATTCCATCAGAATCAAAATCATGTCTTTACCCTTCTCTCTCTCTCTCTCTCCTCCCTTCCATTTTTATTATCATTTCTCTCCAGTTTCTCATCATTTTCTTCCTTATACATGAAGCAAAGAAATCCACCTACTAATCGGATTTCTAGAATTTATATTGAAACCCAAGTCAAACTGGTTGGATAAATTTTTTCTTTCTCTCAAAACTGATGATATTGAATTTCCATTCTAAATTCTGTATTATTATTTTACAATTTAATTAAAATTTTCTCAAAATTAAATTTTTCTCTAAATTTAAATTAATTATTAACTAATTTAATTACTGTTAGTCGTTAACTAATTTTGAACAAGTGAAAATTTTACATCTGATTAAAAATATTTTTCACTTTTGTAACTAAAATTCAAAGAAATTAGAAAAATTAAGATTACAAAAGCTCTACTAGAAATACAATCACTGAGAAAATAATAAAAAAAAAATCAGTCATTTTCATTGAAAATCAAATAAATCTAATTTTAACCAGAGTGAAAATTTAAATCCGATTAAAATTAATTGATTAACAAATTTTCTACAAATTTTGCAACTAAAAATTCATCAAAATAAAAAATTAAATACTCACCGAAATGTAATACAACTCTCGAGTAATATAATAGAAAATTCAGACAGTGATCCAGGTTCCTTGATTGAAATTTTCCAACAAGCTTCTCGAAAATAATATTCACCAATAATGAATACATCACACAGTCGGCTGAAAATTAATTGAAAAAATTAGAAAAATCAGAAAAACAAATTCTACGAAATTATTCTATCTCCATAAACAATAAAATAAATTTCACACAAATATACTTCCAATCTCAATTTATTTATTTTTTTACTAATACTATACTTTCTCATTATAATCAGAATCTAATAAAATCAAGTATAGAATTTTCACTCTAATTCAGATTAAGACGTCTAACTCCTTTTCTTCAGTAAGACTTTTATCCAGAGGAGAAGAAAAAACTATTTTCTATTAAAAGGTTAGTTTAGAAGCAAAATTAACTTTACAAAGTCTTACGGAAAGTTAATCCGAGAAAGTGGATTTCCCTTTGCTCGATAAAGTCACCTTCTATTATATATATACATAAAAGACGCCGATAAGATTCTCCAACGAGAAAATTCAAAGATGGATTTAAAGCCAAACACTGCGCGCGCGCGCGCTTTAATTCACTGATTAAGGCATTTGTAAAAAAAAAAAAAAGAAAACATAATTATTATTAAGCGTAAAATTCACTCTCGATGTTCATTTGTACTTCAACTAATCCCATCTTAGAACCAAAAATATTTCTCACAAGCAAAAAATAAAAATTTTTCACTGAATTTTCTTTAACAATTTATAGAAAAAAGTATTTGCACCAAATCACCAAAATCCAATACCACATAATCAAATTAATTATAATTTTAATTTTAAGTCAATTTTCCGACAATGTTTGATAAATTATTGACAAGTTTTTTTTACAATTTTCTACCATTTTTGTCGACGATTTTTTATACCTCAAGTGAATTCAATTTATTTTTTTCCCATTTGGGAAAAAAAATCCAGTAATAAAGATTCCAAAAGTGGTATTAGCTCTGAAATAAAATCTTGATCTACTTTTTCCTTTACCTTGAGACACTAATTGGTAAATCAGTATTGCTACCTGATTATATGCACAAAGCGTGAAAATGTAAAGAAAGAAAAAAACAGAAAATAAGAGAGCGCCAAAGAATGTTGAAATGAGACAAAGAATGCATGAAAGTCCGAATGCTTGAAATTCCGAGTGTACGCGAAGATTTTTATGTTTATGGGTCGCGCGCATCCTCGAATGTTCCTTTATACTGAAAATCCGCACGAGAAAACACTAAAATCCCTTTTCCCAACCACCTTTTCTCTCCTCTCCTGACCCTTTGTAGAAATTACATCAAAGAATACCTGCGAAATGGTTTTCTAGATTAAGTGATTAAATTCCAAAAATTACAGTAACCAAACACACCAAGAGACAATTATTTAACATTTTATACGACATTTTTTACGATTATCGTTATTTATGGCAACTTTTATTTATATATAAATATATATATATACTTGTATAACGAAAATAGTTTATTTTCAAATTTCCCCACAAGAAACAAACAAATATAAATCCAACTTTTTTAAGCTCAATTTCAAAAGTTAATAATTATCTCAAAATTATTTTATACCATAACAATAAAATTCGACTATTAGAAAAAATTGACGTCATAACAAATTTTTAATAACAATTTTTTAAACCAAAAAAAAATTCTAACTTTTCTATAAATAAATATTTCAAAAAATGGAAAAAAGAAAGTTTTTTCATTGTTTCGTTATACAAATGTATGTTTTCTACTTGAGAGCGTATATATAATAAGCTAAATCTAATATTGTTAATTATTATCAATTGTACAAAATCCATTGAAATCGATATTATATATATTAATTCCCAATAATTGCTAATTGTACAAAGTTTTAGAGCTGAAAATTTATATATAAACTTCACAATGGAAATTTTTTTGTTTCAAATTCCTGATTCTGTACAAATTGATTGATAATTTCGTCAAAGATATAAATATGTATAAAAAGAAATGATTAAAAAAAAATAATCAGCTTTCAAGTTAGTTAATTGTAGGTAATTACAGTATAATCTCTCAACGATAAAATACAAATCTAATAATTCGTTTGTAATTTATATTAACTCTCTAAATCAATTCAAACTCAATTGGAAAAAAATAATTGCTTCTTTATAGTTTCGAAAAAAAATCAATAATAATTTATTTATTATTCTACACTCATTATTCGTGTAAAAATGACTAATTTTTCAAAAATAGTCAAATTTGATTAATATTATATTTTATTACTAAGAATTTAATATAAGGAGAATTCTGAATAACTCTCTGAATTGAGTGAAAAGAAAACAGATATTCAAATTTAAAAAATTTTACTATTTTCAGTTATTTTTTACTAAAAGTTAAAAACTAATATCAACTATACCGCGTTAAAAGTAAAATAGTAAAATCTGTCAAAAGTTTTACAATTTTCAGTCACTTTTTACTAAAACTTTAGTAGAAATAAAAAAACTAAATATATAAAAATAAATTTTACTGAAAATTAGTACAATTTTTTAAATAATGAAAATTAGTAAAAAAATTTTTGACTAAAAAATTTTTTTTATCTTGAAAAAATTTACTATTTCTAATCGCATTTTTCATTTTGTTTAGTTAAAAATACAAAATTCTATTCTAAATTCTAAAATTTTAAAATTTAACCCCAACATTAATTCAGTTTTTCAAAAATTTTTTTTTTTTTTTAATTTTTTTAGTCTTTTTGCACTACAAAATTTGGTAAAAAAATTCAACTATTTAATAAAAATAAAAATTATACTAAAATTTAAAGAAAATAGTCCACTACTGCAAATACTGTAGAAAGAATTTTTACAATCTTCAGTCTTTTTTCACTGCAAATTTAGTAAAAACCAAAAAAAAAATCAACAACTACATTCAAATAAGTAAAAGTAAATTAATTTTTTTTTAAACTAAAAAATAATTATTTGTTAAAAAACAAATATTCACAAATAAATTTTACTGAAAATTAAAATACTTTTTTTTTTAACTAAAATGAATGAACGATTTTTGACTGATTCAGATTTGAAAAAGTGTTTTCAATTTCTAGTCATTTTTCACTAAAAATTTAGTAAAACAAAAAAAATTCAATGCTCAATTCTACAATTCTAGAAATTCAATTACTAAATATTATTTTAGTTAGTAGTTGAATTAGTTTAATAAATTTTACTAAAACTTAGTAAAGAAGTGAAGTTAATTCAAATTTCGTAAAAATGTTCACAATTTCCAATCAATTTTCACTAAAAATTTAGAGAGAGAGAACTAAAAATTTTACTGAAAATTAGCAAAACATTTAAAATAATTTAAAATAGTGGACGAGTTTTCACTAATTCAGATTTGCAAAATTTTTTTTACAATTTTCAGTTATTTTCCACTAAAAATTTTAGTTAAAAATAAAGAATTCAATTCCCAATTCTAAATGTTTTTAAAATAGTAAAAAAATGTTATAATTTTTAGTCAATTTTTACTGAAACTTAAGGGAAAAATATTCTACTATACATTAGTATACAATTAAATTTTATTGAAAATTAGTAAAAATTTTTAAATAATTTAAATTACTGTGGTTTTTTTTCACTAATTTAGATTAGAATTTTTTTTGACAATTTCAAGTCTTTTTTCACTAAAAGTTTAGTTAAAAATAAAAAATTTAATTCTAAATTCTAAAATTCTAAAACTTTAGTAAAAATTGAAATTTTTTTTGAAAATTAGTAAAATTTTTTAAATAATCAGCAATTTTTTTCAACTAAAATTAGATTTAGAGAGTTAATTATTGCAAGATTTAAAAAAAAACTTTTCTAATCAATATTTGAAAAACGAATATACTAATTGAAAGTCACTAATAATTTACAGTTACAACAGTTAAAAATTTACATATAAATATAAAATGTTTATATTTCTTTGTTATCAATTAATATTTTATTATAAATTAATGTTAATACTATAAATAATTTAATCGCAATTAGTATTCAATCGCATCAATAAATCAAATATTCATTAAAAAAGACTAGTTAGTATTAGAAATTTTATAGAAACGTTAAAAGAATTAAATTAATTCTAATTTAAAAGAGAGAGGTTCTACTGTAAATTATACACTTTATACAAATAATACTAAAAGAAATATCTACGAAAAAAAATTATGTTGCAAACAATTCTGTATATTTGAAAAAAAAAAATCATTTCAAAAACTGCAACTGCACAGTCTTTTTCTGATATGAAATATCAGCATGTAATGAGCGAGTGTAATGTAATAAGATCAAGTGAATCGATATAAATATATATAGTATCTAAATTTTTAAGACGTTTGAAACTATGCATCACGGGAGAAATGTTTTTAATAAAGACGCGGTTTTTACCGATTAAAAAAGAAAAAGTGTCTCATATTTTTTTACAACCCTTATTTCCTTTTCATAAAGAAAAGAAAAAGATATTATAACTATATAGAAGATTATTACTAAAGAATTTATAGAAATTTTCATAATAACATTTTCAATTAAGAGCTATTAAGAAACAAGTATTCTACAATTTTTTTTTATTTATTATTAGGCAGCTAAAAACT